AAAAAATCTAAAAAATATATAAACACACTTATTTTTTACAGACATTTTAATTTCAAATTTAGACAAAATTTCATATTTAAACCAAGAATTACGATTTTAGTTATTTTGTTGTGATTGAATAATATTATTCGTGGGTACTTGAAACTTCTAAAGTGTACTATTATATATCTATGATAGTATCACGGTTTTTGTTGATGTATAACGCGTTATAAGTATCTAATGGATATTGTGATATGATTAGTTTGGAATTTATTATAGGTACCTATTATAGGTCAATTTTTTGTTCAATACCATAGATATGTATATAATATGTCTTATACATAGACTGACATACCGTCACCGCTCAGAATCGTTTTTCTTATACAATGATATTATATCATTGAATTCAAATATAATACCATCCATTATACAGTGACCCACTTGTAACCTACTGTACAGCAGAGCGACACCCACTTGCCCACCTTTTTTCTTTTTAAATCTAAGATTTGAAAATCTAATACAAGATTACTCATAAGTTTGTCTACCTTTATCAATAAAAAAAATCTCTACCGGACAGTCAAATTAAATTTTTATGAGCGTTTGAAATTCAAATTTTTACAACATTGGATATTCACTTGATTTCTCATGTAGCGATTTCCTTATTTTGTTGTAATTCAAAAACGAATAACTATAGATACATGAAAATTTCACTGAATGTTCAGATTAGCATTTCCTATACACTGTAAAATTTTGAAAATATTACGACTCTTTTTGAGTTGTTTACGGACATTTTCTGTTTTCAATTTTTTTAGTTTTTTTTTCTATAAATATCAATAAACCTAACCTATCTGTTGGGCCAAAAAGTATAAAAATTTAATACAAGGCTCCTGATATATTGTTACGGTAGCAGTTGAAAAATATTATAAATACATAAGCAACATTTTTTTTTATAAGCATTTAAAGATCAAATGTTGACAACATTTATCAAATTTAAAATTGAATAATAATTTTTTAGTTAAAAATTTATAAAATGTTCATCTTTTATATCTAAGGATTGAAAATTTAAAACAAGATTCCACGTAAGTAGTTAATTCTGTTAACAAAAAGTCTAAAAAATACATAAGCACAGTTTATTTTTATAGTCATTTTAAGTTCAAATTTGGATGAAATTACCTAAAAAAAACCTAGAATAACTATTTTAGTTATTTTGTTGTGATTGTATAATATTATTCGTGGGTACTTGAAATTTCTAAAGTACGCACTATTATATATCTATGATAGTATCAGGGTTTGTTGTTGATGTATAACTTTATAAGTACCTAATGGATATTATGGTATGATTAATTTGTAATTTATTATAGGTACCTGTTATAGGTCAATTTTTTTATACTATAGGGTAGTATATAATATGTCTTACCTATATCTAGACTGACATACCGTCCCCGCTCAGAATCGTTTTTCTTATACAATGATATTATATCATTGAATTCAAATTTAATACCTTCCATTATACAGTGACCCACTTGTAACCTACTGTACAACACCTTTACTGAGCACCTTTTTATTTATTAATAGTTGCCATTGATTACAGTCTACAGTAGAAATTCGTGTTTATTTATTATCGGATTCCATTGGTTATTCGGGCAGATCAGGTACAAGCTTTCATCAAATCAAATTATTGAACATTGCCTACCAAGGTGAAAGAATTGCCCTTTGCCTGCGACCCGATGTAGTCGAATTGCCTACCAGGGTGGCTGAGTTGTGCTTACTGCGACAAGTTACATCCAAAAGGAGTTGAACATTCATAATTTTTTTAAGATTTGCTATTTTTCACGGGCAACGAAGTACAAGGGCTTAGCTATAAAAGTATATTTATCATTAATACCGTTAGAAACATTTCAATACGTTTTCATTAACCGTTTTTAGGGTTCCGTATACGGTAAAACGGAAACTTATTACTAAGGCCCTGCTGTCCGTCCGTCTGCCACCTGGCTGTATCTCATGAACCATATAAGTTAGAAAGTTTAAATTTTTACAGATTATGTATTTCTGTTGCCGCCATAACAATAATTAATACTAATATTCCTAGAATAGATATAATATAAACAGTGTTGCTTGTTGCCACTTGCCAACATGGTACCGAAAACCTTCGTGCGCGAGTCCGACTCGCACTTGGCCGGTTTTTTATATTTACTAATTACTTGTTGACCATATCAAACGATAAAATTTGAATAAATAATTATATATATCATCGTCCGAAGATAAAATAAACAACCAATCACGGGCGAAACTGTGACGGGTCGGCTATATTATAGGTACTATACAAATGTAGCCTATTCAAAATTCTAAAATTGTTTTCTTGATATTTAAGTTGTTTTCGTTTATTAGGTTTATCGGGGGTTTCCATACACATTATCAATCATTCGATTCATATCGATTCAATTTTAATCTTATCTTAATTATTGACTGTTGAGTATTTTGTAAGTTCATGTTACATAAAATTTGGTATGTTTTTATTTTATGTTAGTAATTTTAAAAGGGTTAAATATTGAGTTAAATAATGTCCAAAACAAAATCATTTAAAATGAATATGGTATTTTTAAGGGGATTCGATCTGGTGATTTAATAAGGGGTCGTGTATAGGCAATTCGATGTATTATAGTCGTTTCGCAGTGTGTTTGTGTGCGAAGTAAATGATCATTATTCATTAGTGTGCGTAGATACGTTCGGAATCAGTGGTTCGCACCCGCATGCACATGTCACATAATAAAATATTTGTTCCAACGAGAAACTAATTTCAATCAATTGAGACCTAAAAGCCTGACAAAAATACGATAACTTAGAATGATCGGATTTTAGTTCTGTAAACATATTTGAATTCATCGTTCTTTTTTCTAGGTTATTGTTGGAGTCGATTTTTGAATAACTGTTTAACTTTTTAAAGAAAGACACAAACAATTTTCAAAAAATTGAGAAATCGAAATATGATTTAACGTGAATTCTAAAAAAAATATCGAAAATTGATTCCCACAATAACCTAGGAAAATTGTCAATGAACTCGAATCTTTTTACAGAATTGAAATCTGATAATTCTAAATAGGCGTATTTTTGTCAGGCTTTTAGGTCTAAATCATGAAATAAATACGCTGCATCGAATCCCCTTGAATAAAAATAACATGCCGTTGTGATCTTGCTTTGACATTATAACAATATAAAATTATATATTTATCAGTTATACCTTACAGAAAATTTGGTATCGGTTTTCGTCGATTAAATGTTTTAAAAATATTTTAAGTATTGGTCATTTTTTCGGTAAAATTCTTTTTTTAAAGGGCATTTATTGCTAATTTTTAGAGCATATTTGTATGGTCATAAGGGCATTTAAATTCGGGAACTACTTATTAATATCTAAAATAATTAATAAAACACCAAATTTGTCTTTGCTCAAACTTTACTTGTAAGTTATATGGTCAACCAGTGTCGTTTATAGTGGGGAGGCCCCCTAGGCCAGAACCCATAGTGAAATTGCAGGTTAAATTAAACCGTTTCATGTATTTATATTAATAACCACCCAGCTCCCTAAAAAATGAATATTTATGGCTATGTTAGTCACTCTATGCTGTCTTGTGAGTTGTGATAAATTGGCCCATAGTGAAAATATTTTGTTTATACCTACGCCACTGTGGTCAACATTCGATTTCTATATTAATTAATCATTAACTCGTATGAGACATGAGTTCATACGGGAATCCAAGTTCAGTTAAAATACTCTGAACAAATGGACATAGTAATGGCACATTGATTAACAAATTAACAATTATTGTAATTAATATGATCAATTAAATAATCTTTATCACCTGCACTGTTCAACGTCATCCTAGAATCAGGTATGAGGACAGTAATATCCCAAGCAAAGGGCATAGAATTAAAAGACAATCAACATCTAACAGCAGTTGCTTACGCTGATGATATAGTGTTATTAGCCGAAACAGATAACGACCTAAAAAACACAACAGATATATTTCTGAAGGAGGGGAAACAAATTGGCTTAAAAATTAATGAGACAAAGACAAAATACATGATGATAGTATCTAAAAAAATAACAGATCAGATTCCTTGAAAGTAAATGAGTACACATTTGAAAGGGTAGGAAATTTTAAATACTTAGGTGCAGATATTAATGAAGATGCTAATAGCCACGAAAAAGTAAAAAGACGGCTCATCGCAGCAAACAGTTGTTACTATGGACTATTACCAATGTTCAAGTCAAAACTATTATCAAGAAAATCCAAAGTAACATTATATTAAGTTCTAGTCAGAGCAGTAGCTCTGTATGCAAGCAGTACTTGGGCGACGACAAAGTCAGATGAAAAAAAATTGGAAGTGTTTGAGAGAAAGATATTGAGGAAGATATTTGGCCCAAAGAAAAACAATGAAGGAGAATATGAAATACGAAGCAATAAAAACTTAGAAGAACTATATAATGAAACCAATATTGACTATTGTTGGGATCTTGAAAAGCGCACGAATAGGCGGCCCCAGACATGTGTGGAGATCAAAAATATTAATATATTAATAAAATTAATAGATAATAATAATAATAAATAATTAATAATTAATAAAATATTAATACATTTAAGACCATAAAAAAATAGTTCCTATATTATAAATAATTGTAAGATACATTATGTGAATAAATATCCAGGAGTAAATATGTATTTATTTTATTAAATTATAACTTTTGTTTCATATTAATCAGTATAAAATTGTATATTGTATATTATAATGAAATTAATTAATTTATTACTAGTTGTATTTGTGTAAGGATAGATGATTTTTTTTGAATAGTGCAATATATCATCAATGGAAATAGTTTTTTTTTTTTTTTTTATTGAACAAACATAATATATTTACAATCTGTATTTACATGTGATACAATAAGTAAATGTGATGATTTTTGGTTAACAGGAGGGGGAAGTCACCCAGTGGCGGCACCCCGTACTGGAAATAGTTATGTATATTTAGTTCAAATGTAGATCTTCTCTTGATAGAGGCAAATGTGCATTTTCAATTATCTTAAACAAAAAATACATAGGAAAATAAATAATTGTTATAATGTTATGTATAAATAAATGGTACCTAATGAACAAATAAATAATAAGCACTATATAATTACCATTTTTGAACCATCTCTTAATTCAGTTGCTGTGTGTTTACCAGGTTTAAGGCTTAAACCAGTATTTGTACATACGTACTTACAAATATTTGACATCCATTGAATAACACGAGTTTTGGAACATTTGTATTCTATTTCTCGTAATGCGTGGAACTACAAATAAACATAAATTTTAAAAAATAATTAGGGAATTCACTCTGCTGTTTGGTAAATGTTGAGTGTATAATATATACTAGGATGGTTCTCTGGTATACTTAGATGAAAAACAGTTATCACTATTCAAAAGCTAATCAGTTATTTACTCGTATTTTTTTAATTCGATAATAGTTCAACGGTCTAGTTAAGAGGACGTTACCCATACATTTGTTGTCTCCGTCTTACACACGCACGACATAGCAAATTGTCGTTCACTAGTTTCAATAGTATGCAGTTAGTTTTTATACTAGAGTGAATCTAATATAACATATTTAGATAGTAACATTATCTGTGCTTAAGCGTTGGCTTTTATTCGATATTTTAATTTTCAAGCGAGATATGAGCATTTTAAATGTTTGATATTTCACGTACACATATCTTACTTGAAAATGAAAATATTTAAAAATCACCAACGCTTAAGCACAGATAATACTCTTACCTAATAGTATGATAATAGGTCAATTCACTCTAATATTAAAACTAACAACACACTATTTAAACTAGCGAATAGAAATTTGGTATGTCGTGCGTGTGTAAGACGGAGACAACAAATACATGAGTAGCGTCCTCTTAACCCACCTAAATTGCTCAAAATAATTTCAAATTAGGTAAATAAATGTTATTTTATATTTATAATATTATTTAATTTATGAATTATGCCAATTGTATGATACAAATGAGTATTAGCCGATTATGCACTTCCCCCGTGTAAAGTTCCACACGGGGAATGTGTGACATGTTTTATGGGGAAAGTGTGACATGCCTTATTTTGGTGAAATAGTTAAAAAGATTTTATAAACATTGTTTGTGACTAAAATATTTATGAGTTACAATAATATAAAAATATTAATTATTAAATATGTAAAATATTTGACAGTTAAACTTTGAATATGTGTTAAATTATATCAACCAAAACTTAAAAAAAACTTATATGTATTAACTATAAATTAAAAAAAACTGATGGTCTGTCAAATCTTGATAAAATTAAATAATTGAATTCTTTTGACGGAATTTCTTTTAAGATTTTGATTAGTTTATGACACTTGCCCCGGCCAAGGAATAGCTTGTATACAACTGCATTAAAAGTACCGGTTTTGCACTTACCCCGGTAGCAGGGAAGTGCGACACTTTTTTTTTATTTTTGAATAATTTTTTTTCAACTACAAAATTATCAAAACACATTTTTGAATACAAATTTGAATTCCTGATTCGTTCATTAATGGATGATAAAAAACTATGTTCCACGTAAGAAAACAGTAAGATGGTATGTTCCATTAAACTGAGATTTTGCCATACCACGTCGCTGTTACCACACCTGACTTGTATTTAGATCACTTATATGATAAATCATTAAATAATATTTGTAAAGTAGGTATAACAAATAATTATATGTATATTAATCAAAACATATACATAGTTTTTATTTGGATGGAAATCATGTTTAAGTATTTTTACCATATTATAATTTAAGAATAAAATAACTATTTGTAACTAGTTTAAAACATTAGATCAAAATAAATTTAAATCAAAAACAGACATACTTATTGCAATATTGTGGAATACATAATAAACTCAAAATAAAATTACCTTACAACCGAGACCGCATCCATACATATCAGATTCTATAATTTCATGAATTGATTTTCCTGATCTTAAATTTTGTGGATCCAACTCAAGATTTAATTTTTTTTTGATTTCCAATAATAAATCCTCAGTTCTTCCTATTTTGAATATTGACTTACAACGTTCAGCATCAACTACAAAATGTGATAAATATGTCAATAGTTATATAAGTTGGTAGGTTAGATTAAGGTTAAAAAAAATTAAAATATATTAACCATAATTTGTTTTACTGTGTAAAACATTCATAGTATATCATAATGTATATATTAAACCTTTAAATAAATTAGTATTATGTATACTAATTCATTCTACCTAAACTACATTAATGTATTTATTAATTATGTACCTATTCTTTTCAACACTGGACATTATTTTATAGAAATTATAATATCTCCATTTTAACAAACTGAATTTATGTATTTATTTTATTAATTTACGTTTAAGATCAATCTACAATAATTTTACCCACAAATAAATTTGTTACAAGTTTAACAGTTGTATTAAAAGGATGCTACGTGGGCAATTATTGTCTCTGCCTTGCAAATGCGTAACATACCAAATTTACGCTCAGCAGATCACGTTAGCTCTTTAAAATTGTTACCTTAAAAATTAGAGTGATTTGACCTATTATGGAACTTGATGGTTAGAACATTATCTGTATTTGTACATTTTTTTTTTTTTTACAATAGTTCAATGTTTTAGCAAGATTTCCGTGTATAATATAGCAAAAATTTAAAATGCTATTAAATGACTAAAAACTGAATTATCCTAAATAACCCACATATAAACACAGATAGTGTTCTTACCATCAAGTTTCATAATTAGTCGATTCACTCTAATCTTTAAACTAACATCTAAACGAAATCTGCTGAGAGTAAATCTGGTAGGTATGTTACGCACATTTAAGACGGAGACAACCTGAAATCTCTGTCTAGTATCCTTTTAAGTGCAGCGGACTAATTTATGTATAATAGAGTGGTAGTTTAGTATTCTGTAAGAATGATAAAAAATTTACATTGATTGTGTTATATTGATTTACCTTTTGGGTAAGCTGTGGAGTATAGTCTGTCCAAGCTATTTTTAGTATTCATAATATTAGTACCAACTTCTGACTCTATAGTGAATAAATATGGTAAGTCCAATGTGCCCTCTTGTAAATCTGCATGATTTATTTTTCCATCCTAAAATAATACCATTGAAATTTGACAAATAAATTTTATATTATTGAATTTACCTTTAAAAATGTTGAAAATTCCAATAATATTTGTTGATAATCATCTGGATGTTCATTAAAACACATAATTTGATGAAATCGGTCAGAAAACTCTCTCATGCTTCCAGCATAACCTCTTGGGTAAATTTTAGCTATGAACAATTTACTATTTATTAATTTATAGGCCCACTGGTATTGGTAGTATAAAATAGTAATATCTCAGTATAATTATATTTAAGAAAAACTTGGTTTTCATGGTGTTTAAATTTAATAACACACTAAAACTTTGATAATGTATCCCAGAGGAAAGTAATTGGCCTGCATCATAATATGAAAACATACTTAAATCATTCCCAAAAAAGCGCTGAAGCATTGGAAAGATACAATCAACTAAGAAAACGAATTGTAAGCGGTTATTTTCAGTATGCTGATATATATTTTTTATATAATTAGAACCGACAACAATTTTAAAGTTGTTTGTATTTGTTGTATTATGCATTGTATTACTCGAAAATGAACAAATATGGAGCAATAAATGTTTATATTTATTATAGTGATTGCCCAGTAGAATAATTTAAATAGAAACAACTAATTAATATTATTTGCAACTTTCAAGAGTTATAAGATTTTTTTTCATCTTCTGATCAATAAGTACATTTTTACTTTTTTTATATTTAAAAATAATATGTACCAATTCTAGTTGTTTGTTTTATATTCTTTGGTAAAGAAATAAAAGAACTAAAAAAAAACATAACTCTCTTCGAATATTTTCAGATTATTCTTGATGGTAACTTTCATCAGTGACATATTTACTTACAGTCATGATACCGATGACATGGAAAATACAAATTCAATTTTGAAATATTCGCTTTAATTAACATATTATGATGAAAAATCTTGATACTCATCTATGCTCAAATATTTAATTTTAATTTTATCCAATGCTGGGGGACCTATCTGAACACTACTAAAATATTTTAAATACTTACAAATACCAATAACTTGATGATATGTGCGAGATATACCATCTATCAAACTAAATTCCAATGCTGCTATTTCAGCGGGAAAATAATACTTTTCTTCAGCCTGAGTATGACAATTAATGTGCAATAAAATAAACTTTTTCTTAAATAATTCTGAAAAATTAAAATTATTTAATTTTAATTTTTAAACTTACATTGATAAAATTAAGTACATATTGTATACAATATGTAAAAAAAATAATTATATATTTAATTTACATAAATTAAATTAATACTGTTTATAAGTGTAAATATAAGTATTTATTAAAGTGTAATAATAATAATTATTATTTATTAAATAAATAAATATATGTAACATCCCAAGGCCCAAAGGGTAGGAGTACAGTATTGAAAGACTAAAATTAACATTAAATTAACACATGAAGACAATAGTTGAAATAACAGAGAACAAATTAAACATCAATATTCAAATTATAAATACAAGTTTCTAGCTTAGGGCAGGAATAAAAAAAAAAAATCAGAATTAAGAATTGTATTACAAGTTGTTTGTAGGTGACACACCGGACTATTTAATAACATAGGTAACATAATAAATCTGTTCATTTTTCTTTTCTTATTTTGATAAGGTATTATAAAAAATGTATAAGTTTAATGCTGAGTTGCACAAAAGTTATATTTAATGAATCAATATAGGACTTTAAACCAGGGACTGAAACCGTACCGAAAAGAAAATAGGATTGGCTCATGTTGTAAGAAGTGGAAGTGAATTGTATAATTTGATACAATCAAACACTCAAATACTCAATTATCTCCAGAGCTGGGCAAGTTAGTAATTGTTTTCAACTAGTTGAAGTTAAGTTACTTTAGTAAAAATAACTAAGTTAGAATATAAGTTAGTTTTTGAAACTGTCCAAATTTCTAACTTAGTTAGTTAAAAGTTATTTTGGTGAAAATAGCAACTTAAGTTAGAGTAGAAGTTAGAAGTTAGTTTTTTTTATAAATTAAAAAACCTTTTTGTTGAAATGTAAATAATTAGTTAACCAACTTAGATTATTAATTAAAACTAAAAAATTGAATTAAACCCCTAGTAACTTGATCAAAATGTTCTAATTAGGTAAGTAATAATTTCAATTAATTGGAAATTAATTGGTATATCACTTATCAGTTATTAGAACATAAAGGGTGAAACAAAATAAAAATATATAATAGTTTGACAAACTTTTGTGTAAAAAAGTACTTAATTTAATACTTAACTGATGATTTTTAGTATAAATTAAATTGACAAGATTACTTTTCTACTAAAAGTTATTTTGATGAATTCTCCTTTTCTTATTTCAACTTTTAAATTTCAAAATTTTCATTTTTGATAATTTTCGGTCTAATTTAATATGAGACCGTAATCTATATATATAAAAATGAATGTATGTCAGTGTGTCAGTGTGTCTGTGTGTCTGTGTGTCCATGTTACCATGGTTACCAAGGTTGCCATGGTTACTAAGGTTACCAAGATTTCATATCAATCTATATATATAAAAATGAATGTATGTCAGTGTGTGTGTGTGTGTGTGTGTGTGTGTGTCCATATTACCATGGCAACCATATCTGTATATAAAAAACAGTAAGCTGATTGACTGCTATCAACGCACAGCTCAAACCATTGGACGGATCTGGCTGAAATTTGGCATACAGATAGCTATTATAATATAGACGTGCGCTAAGAAAGGATTTGCCAAAATTCGCATTTTAAATAGGTGCTGAAACAGGGACATTGAGATTCACGATAGAAATTGGAAATTTTATTTTTATTTATTTATAGTTGCCATTGGTTACAGTCTACATTAGAAATTAGCATTTATTTATTGGTTGCCATTGGTTATTCGGGCAGATCAGGTACAAGCTTGCATCAAATCGAATTATTGAACAATGCTTACCAGGGTGGCAGAGTTGCACTTACCGCAGAAAATTACACCCAAAAGGAGTTCAACAATCATAATTTTTTTAAGAGTTGCGATTTTTTACGAGCAACCAAATTTATAAACTTGGTATAACTTTGATACTTTAGAGTTAAATCATACACTTCCGTACAAACAGCACGGGGTCCGCGATCTACCGCAGGTAGATTGCCTACCTGATAATGTACTGCTGCGATTCAGAATTTTTATTCAGGGCAACGGGAAAGATAAGATAAATTTTGAACACCATACACGTTAATGAATTGAACAAAGTTTGAGTAGGTAGTATTGAGTTGATCCATTTAACGGGCGACGAAGTGCACGGGATCAGCTAGTATATAATATAATAAGAGACTGAAATATAATTTATTTTACTTTCAAATTTTAATTTTTAATCTAGAATAGACATTAAAAAATAGTACTTATGGAGACTTAAAAGACAAAATGTTTAGTTTATTTTTCATGTAAAATTCAATGTAATAAAAACATTTAGGTACTATCTAGCTAGCTTGTCAAAACAATCAGATTCAATTCAATGTTATCTGGCTGAGAAATTGTATTTTCAATTGGTGAACAGACTTATTATTTAATTATAATTTATTAGACCTTAACCTAAAATTAATATGATAGTTCTTACCCTCATTGTTAGGTATACAATCAAACATCTTGGTTAAATATTTTTGCATGTTCCAAAAAACATGGCTATCATTCTGTAGATCACTAGTCTGTTTCAACGGCTGTTTTGTTACTTGTTTAGAATTATATTGATTAGCAAGAACTTTGTACTTATATTTTTCCTCATCAGTCAATTCCTATAAAACAATAATTATCAAAATTAACTTAAATACAAAATACAAAACCCTTACTAGGAGTGGCCAAACTTAAATTTAATACTAAATTATAATTTATAACTAAAGCAATTTGATGTTATTGGCATGGGATTAGTACGGGTATATTAAGAATACGAGTAGGTATATGATTTTTGTATTTTTTAATAGTATATAGATTTATATTTAAAAAGCTTGACCATTGACTTTAGAATCCATTTAGAGATTACTTACGTTCCATATGGGTGATAATTCAATACATAATTGCTGAAAACTGGGAGTTTTGTTTCCTTTATTACTTTCTTCACTCATATAACATTTTACAAAATAAGAATATGCAGATCTCTTGGAAGACATATTTATCTCTAGAAAGAAAAAAAAGGGTTATTATTAACCTGGTTATACACTACCATAATTTTTTATACAAATGTTAGCGATTTTAAAATTCTATCTAGTGGAGTCGCCACCTGTGGCCAGGATTAGTATTGCACTGTCTATTTTTGTTACCAATAAATAGTCGTTCAAACTTAAATACACTGGTATTAGGTAAGTCAATTGATATTTATTTAGTAAAATATAAGTATAGCAATTCTAATACTAAAAAGCTTATAAAAATAAATTATTCATGTTAACAATTAATAGGATATCAGAGCACTGTTTGTTTTCTTTGTCTGAATCCCAACAAAATGCATTCACACAAAATCCTTTTTTTTATGCTTTTGAGTGGTGTTAGATGTTGAATGGTGAACCGAATGAAAAAAACAATATTTTGCTGACATAATCTACTAAATAAATAAATATTGCAAATATGTGTTGTTAAATATATATATATATTTTCTTTGTTACATATTTTTATATTTTAAGATTTCAGTAGTGTGCCTAGATATCTGTGCTTTACCCATGGAAATAAAATGTATTTTTATAAGACAGTTTAAATTAAATATAATTCTATTGTTGTACCTATTATAGGTACACGTGTACATCAGTACCCATTAGCATGTAATTCTATATAGACAAATAAAGCTTTAGATTTAAAGACGATCACTTCGGTCGTGTGGATTTTCACTTTTTATATCTGATTAGAAACTACTTTCTCAGGTCTAGACTGAAGTCTACTGAAGCTGTGATTGAACTCAGCCAAATACATTTTTCAATTTATAACGGAGCGTTAGTACCAAGATATTCTCGGCAGGTTGTTCTTCTAAGATAAGTTTTCAGGCACCGTAAGCATTAATAATTTTTTTCACTAGTCACATTATGTTAGTGGGAAATTTAAAAATATTAAATATCAAAGGAAATTCTGATAATAATGATCACATTGGTACTAATGTCAAAAAATTCAAAAAAAATTCTTCATACCTAATTGAAATTAGTAATATTTTTTAATAGGACCGAAGTCCAACTACAGCAGGTGCAAAAGCTATTCTTTGCATCTGCTATCCTATTACCAGAATAACAGTGTCCATCCCCACATCTACGCGGTTAACATAGTACCTACATGGCTACATCACGGAATGAAATATTTACGTTTCCATCTTTAAACAGTATAAATATATAATATAATTTCAAATTATTAATTTGAATACTTTAGTAATTTACATTGAATAAATTCCGATAGGTAGGTAGTACAAAAAACTGTGGGTACTATACAGATGCAAAAAGAATAAAAACAAAAATTATACGCCAGAAAATAAAAAAATTAAACATATAAATTATAAACAGGCAGAAACAAACATCAAACAAAGATGGCGTCTACCAAGTCAGTACTCACAATTATTGGACGAACAAATACACAATTCCGTATTCACCCGAATGTCGTATATATTCGCTTTTGTCGGGAACGCCGAACGACTACGATATTGGTTATTTAGTAAATTTTTTAACAACCCGGGTGGACTTTTAAATATCACCTTGGTAACGATACAAAACTGGCAATCATTCAACAACGAGGTTATGATCGTTACTTAACCGGATTCGGAATCGCACATACTCCACAGGTACATCAGGAACAGAGGTCGGAGAACAGACTCTCGACTCGACGCTCGGTATCCCGGTAACTCGGGTAACTAGAGTTTAGTGTTTACCTCCAACAATGTTAATACTTAAGGTTAGGTACGAGGGATGGTTATTGGTATGCTGCACATGTTGTTCCAATACTTTTGCATATGCGCCAGAACAAACCTGGTTGTGTTCATATGGTAAAATTCACGTCCGTGGTAAAATTTATCGTATCGTAAAATAGTATGTATCGTAGACATTAATAATATAATATGCTATATATAATACTTATGTTAGAACTATTTATTTTATGTTATAAAATATTATATAGCATTATATAGTATAATTTTTAAATTTGTATAATATTGTATGGTAACACTTACCATATAAAAACAAATGTTTTTGTCGCAAGGAATGACATCACTGCTGGAAGTTGGGACGTTACAAATCATCGCACCACCCACCCGAATCCAACCCTGATACACCGTGTATGGTATGGGCCATGGGGTAATATATTTTTTATACCATGAACAAGCCATTTTTATTTTATTTTTTCGTTTAAAAAAAAAAGAACGAAATAACGACTTTCGTGGAACCTTTTATTCAATTTTCAATCCTAAGGTATTAAACCTGTTGATTTTGTTAAAATTTTAAGTTACCTTTATTCTTACTTGTTTAGTTAGGTTCCTATAAAGAAGATACAGTGAGTTAACTATTTTTTTTCTAATATTTACCAAGGAAGGTATCTAAAAAGTAAGATTTTTTTTAATATTGAAACAAATTGCTCAAATTGATGAATAAACAAGGTTTTCAATTGTTTATGCTCAAAATGTTGTCTAATGTTTTTTTAAAAATATAATTTAGTGGTCCACTTCAAAACTAGAATCGATTGAAGATGTTTTTAATGAAAAACACTTTACCTAGATATGTGGGGTCAATTGGACCACTTTTTAGCACAAAAAAAAATGTTTAAAAAAGTCGGCGTATCCGAGTTGGGTCCCGAGTACTAGGGATAAATCACAGGTACTACACTAGTTGGGTCCAGGATATTTTTGGGTACTACACTAGTTGGGTCTGTGATTATTTTAAGTAAATATACAATCCAAATGAAAAATATTGTCATATTGTATATTTTTGGTTATGAATTTTTGGGTATTTTCCTGTATGAAATATGTCAGTGCCAAATTTTCTAAGATTATCTCTTATAGATATTGAAAGGTAACTTTGTAGGAGTTATTTCCAATAAAAAGATAGTATATTGTTAGACAATATCAAATAACATCTGATAAATTTCAAGAAACTATCTCGTGCGATAATAATGCCGCCGGTTTGTTCCGCCATCGCTGTGTCAAGTTATTTAGAGACGACAAGACGAGTGTTCTGTGTTCTAGTGACTAGCACTATGGAAGAAGCTAATATTATGTTCAGTAAAAAAGGTAAAAAATTATATGTTATAGAAAGATTTAAATTTACATTTAACAAACTACTGAAAAATCAAAAATGATATTGAACGATGGAGATGCATTCAGAGATCATGTAAGTCATTTTTTTTAAAATATTACAATGATCAATTTATCAAAATTTATAAAAGACAAAATGAATCAAAAAAATGCAGGAATAATAAATCGATTTAATTTTGCAAAATGAATGTCTTATAAATTTTTACCAACACACATGTGATTTCTTTGAACAGTATTTTATTTATATTATACAAAACCTATGTATTTTTTATATTTGATTTATAACGATTTTAATATTTTTCTATGTTTAGTACCTGCATAGTGCATGTTATTGCCATTTATTATTTAAATAAAATTCTAATAATTTATATTTTTAATGGCAAATAAACTAAAAAAATAAACTCTAAAAAAAACATTTTTAACCATACCTTTGGTCTAAATAGAGTGAATAGACAGTCCTAAGTCTGTTAAAATGGGAAGGAAAATAAACTTATGTAGTACTCACCAAAAACAAAAATTAAGACCCCAACTATTGTTGTACCTGTGAAAATTCCGGACCCAACTAGTAAAGTACCTGCAAAAAACACGGACCCAACTAGTATACAATTTTTGAATTCGGGACCCAATTCGGATGCAGCCAAAAAAGTTAGAAAAAAAAAATGTCGTTAATTGTAGCATACATACGTAAAGATAATATATTCCAAGTTTCAATCGTTTTGGTCAAATAGATTTTTCGGAATCTTAAGAAATTTACAAAAAACTGGTCCACTTCACCCCGTTCTATACGGTACAATTTATGATTTTGAAAGTACGGGTGCTGGTACTCTGAGTGACTGGTTTTTACCAAAAACTAACAATAGGGTATATTAATGACATACGACCACCACTTGTATCAGTGGCGTCCGCAGGGGGGGGGGGGCTAACGGGCTGAAGCCCCCCCCATTGCCCATATTATTATTACTTTAAAAAAAAAAATATTAATAAAGTTTAAACTGTCAACTATAGTAAGCAAGACGTAACTTTCATAATATATGTCTTACCAAAATGAATTCATTTTTGAAAAAACATTGTATTTGCATACCAATTTTCATAAATTATCTGTAAATTTTCGGTAAAAGAATGAACTACTTGTATGAAAGACCTTGTATTAAATTGTCTAGCCTTAGCTATACATATTTTATATTTTATAAGTTTTGAACTACAAATTAACTGTGGTTAAATTGTTTTGAACTTTAAATGCATATTATGTAAAATAAAACTTACGTATTACATTTTTTAAGCTTTTCGACCGGATAAATAATTTTTTATTGACATTTATAAAAAAAAAATTTAATTAGTCAAATACAATCCAAGTGAGGACTATATAACCAAGCAGGGGCGTATATAGGATTTTCTTTAGGAGGGGGATATCAAAATTTGTTTTGTGCTATTGCAACTTTTTGTTAGTTACTCCATGTAAGGTATATAATAATAATAAATGTTGTGTAATGTCTCTCACATGCCCACAGGATAACAAAATTATAAATAACAACAGTACTGCAGCAGTTTTTACTTTATACATGGAAAAACATGGGTAAGGGAGGGGGTCTATCCCCCATATCCCTCCATAAATACGTCACTGTAACCAAGCTATTGTTACCAAACAATTTAAATAAGTTTTCATTTTTTTTCTCCAATTAGGTACTTTTAAAAGCACTGAGCAGATTCAATTTCGACCTCCTAAAAGTACCAACTGGATCCAATTTGCTTCCAAAAACATACACTGGGCATCGAAGCTTATGATAAGAGCATATTTTCTACCAGAAAAGTTGAAAAGTTACAAACATTTTAAAATGCCTCAAATAAACGTCTGAAATTATTAGACTGGACAAAATAAAAATAAATTTGTAACTAATTTTC